AAAAATACAAAAATTAGCAGGGCGTGGTGGCACATGTCTGCAATCCCAACTACTTGGGAGGCTGAGGCAGGAGAATTGTTTGAACCCAGGAGGCAGTGAGCCGAGATCGCACTACCGCACTCCAGTCTGGCTACAGAGTGAGACTCCGTCTCAGAAAAAAAAAAAAAAAAAAGGGGGGGGCTAGGTATGGTGGCTCACACCTGTAATCCCAGCACTCTGGGAGGCTGAGGCGGGCAGATCACCTGAGGTCAGGAATTTGAGATCAGCCTGGAAAACACGGTGAAACCCCATCTCTACTAAAAATACAAATATTAGCTGGGCATGGTGGGAAGCGCCTGTAATCTCAGCTACTCAAGAGGCCGAGGCAGGAGAACCACTTGAACCCAGGAGGCAGAGGTTGCAGTGAGCCGAGATCGTGCCATTGCACTCCAGCCTGGAGGACAAGAATGAGACTTCCTCTCAAAAAACAAAACAAAACAAAACAAAAAAAGCCTTTACAGATTTTTCTTTTCTTTCTTTCTCTTTCCCTATTTCTTTCCCTTTTCGCTCTCTCTCTCTCTCTCTTCCTCTTTCTTTCTTTCTTGATGGAGTTGTGGTCTTGCTCTGTTGCCCAGACTGGAGTGCAGTTGTGCCATCACAGCTCACTGCAGCCTCCACCTCTTGGGCTCAAGTGATCCTTATGGCTTAGCCTCCCAAGCAGTAGCTGGGACTACAGGCCTGCACAAGCACAACCTAGGCTTTATTTTTTATTTTTATTTTCAGAAATGGTCTGGCTATGTTGTTCAGGCTTGTCTCAAACTCCTACCCTCAACTGATCCTCCCACCTCAGCCTCCCAAAGTGCTGGGACAGATTTTCTAATAAACCCCTTCATCATACAGATGAATAAGCTGAAGTTTACAGTCCTTATCCTTGTGACTGTCACTGAGTGGGTAATCAGCAACTACTAGCTCTTTTGTTTATGCCCTAAGTTGTTCAAAATGACCAGTCCATACTAGAATATAAGCTTCCTAATTTCAACACCAGTTTCTTTCACCTTAATCATACTGAGTGATGTGCTTTCATTGGGTCTACTATAAAAATCATTATAGCCATAAATTTTATTTATTTATTTATTTACTTATTTATTTGAGATGGAGTCTCGGTCTATGGCCCAGCTGGGATCACAGGCGTGAGCCACCATGCCCGGCCAGCCATAACTTTTACTTCATTTAGTTTTTTAATAGCTTGAGATATAATTCACATACCATATCATTCACTCATTTAATGTGTAGAGTTGAATGTCTTTTAGCATATTTCCAGAGTTCTGTATTCATCATTATAACCAATTTTTAGAACATTTCCATTATCCCAAAAAGAAACCCCATATCTATTAGCAGGCATTCCCATTTCCCCTCATCTGAGCCTGTCATGCCCCTCAGACCTAGCCAATCACTAAATTCACATTTCATATGAATGGAATTGTACAATATGTGGTCCTTTGTGACTGACTTCTTTCACTTAGCTTTTTCAAGATTCAGCTTTGTCGCTGGGTGCGGTGGCTCATGCCTGTAATCCCAGCACTTTGGGAGGCCGAGGCAGGTGGATCACCTGAGGTCAGGAGTTTGAGATCAGCCTGGCTAACATAGTGAAACCCCGTTTTTACTAAAAATACAAAAAATTAGCCGCGTGTGGTGGCACACAACTGTAATCCCAGCTACTTGGGAGGTTAAGGCAGGATAATCGCTTGAACTCGGGAGGCGGAGGTTCCAGTGAGCTAAGATTGTACCATTGCACTCCAGCTTAGGCAACAAGAGCGAAATTCTGTCTCAAAAAATTCAGCTATGTCATGGCATGTACTTTAAAATTCTTTTTTCTTTTCTTTTATTTATTTATTTATTTATTTATTTATTTATTTATTTATTTTTTGAGACAGAGTTTTGCTCTTTTTGCCCAGGCTGGAGTGCAATGGCGCGATCTCGGCTCACTGCAACCTCCACCTCCTGGGTTCAAGTGATTCTCCTGCCTCAGCCTCCCGAGTAGCTGGGATTACAGACATGCGCCACCACCCTGGCTAATTTTGTATTTTTAGTAGAAACAGAGTTTCTCCGTGTTGGTCACGCTGGTCTTGAACTCCCGACTTCAGGTGATCCACCCGCCTTGGCCTCCCAAAGTGCTGGGATTACAGGAGTGAGCCACTGTGCCCGGCATCTTTTTTCTTTTCTACTCTTTTTCTTTTTGAAATGGAGTTTTGCTCTTGTTGCCCAGGCTGGAGTGCAATGGCTCGATCTTGGCTCACTGCAACCTCTGCCTCCCAGGTTCAAGCGATTCTCCTGCCTCAGCCTCCTGAGTAGCTAAGAATACAGGCGCATGCCACCACGCCTGGCTAATTTTCTATTTTTGGTAGAGACAGGGTTTCTCCATGTTGGTCAGGCTGGTCTTGAATATCCGACCTCTGACCTCAGGTGATTGGCCCACCTCGGCCTCCCAAAGTGCTGGGATTACAGGTGTGAGCCACTGTGTCCTGCCAAAAAAAATTTTTTTTTCTCCAGAGATGAAGGTCTCACTATGTTGCCCAGGCTGATCTCCAACTCATGGCACAAGCCATCCTCTTGACTTGAACCTCCCAAAGTGCTGAGATTACAGGCAGGAGCCACCACGCCCACTCCCCTCCCCTCCAACGACTTTCTTTTTATTGCCAAATAATAGCCCATTGTATATATATGTCACATTTTATCCATTCATCGGTTGATGGTTATTTAGCTGAATTTTAACTAAATGTTATCTCTGATAACTGGCAGAAGCTTATAATCAAGACATAAGTGTATATCTTTCTGTGTTGAATTTATACCTAAAGAAGTATACTTATTAGGAATGACAATTAAAATCTCTTACTTGAAAAATCGATACTTTTTTCTTTTCTTTTCAAAATTTTTTTTTGAGATGGAGTCTCACTCTGTCGCCCAGGCTGGAGTGCAATGGCATGATCTCTGCTCATGGCAACCTCCGCCTTCCGGGTTAAAGCAATTCTCCTGCCTCAACCTCCTGGGATTACAGGCACGCGCCACCATGCCCAGCTAATTTTTCTATTTTTTAGTAGAAATGGGGTTTCACCATGTTGTTCAGGGTGTTCTTGAACTCCTCACCTCGTGATCCGTCCGCCTCGGCCTCCCAAAGTGCTGGGATTACAGGCATGAACCATCACGCCCGGCCGATGCTTTTTTCTTTAAATTTTCTGATGTGTATGGTAATACTGTGGAAAGAAAAAGTAAAGCCTGCCCGTATGTTTTTCGGCTCTTCTGATCCCCCAGGAAAAGAGAGGCATGTATGTAGGTAGATCAGGTGAGTGATAGCCCTCAGGAAGAGAAAATAAAAGGATTCACATCAAGAGTTTTTTTGGTTTTCAAGTATGAAAGGTTAAGAAGAGAAAGGGCATTTGGAGCTCACAGCCAACCAGCTGGTCGGCATTCCTACTACCCAAACATCTAAATGACATAAGGGTGAATGTGAGGTGAGGCTGAGCATGGAGAAAACACAGGAAGCAAATTCAGTCCCATCCGGCACTTTAGACTTCGTATTTTCATCCTTGTCCTTCCAAATTTATAGGTTTGCTCTTGCCCAACCTTCATATTGTTTTTGTGGGTCTCCAGGTGGGTCATGCGTAGGAAACTTTAGGGAACTACTTCATACTTGGTGGGAAGTACTTGAACTTGTAAACCCCAAGCTAAGGGTAGTTATGATCCCGGTGGGTGGCCAGTTCTCCCCCTAAATCTATGTTTATCCTGCCTTTCCTCCCCCTTTTCTTAAACGAGTCGGGACGGAGAACTGAGTCACCTAAGGCAGGGAGAAGGGACTTTTGAGAGTGTCTTCCGTCCCATTTGCGGACGTCAGGTGAGCACACCGGGAAGCGATCTTGACTCAGCCCGCTCTGGCGTGGGCGTTGTGTCATTCCCCACACGTGACGCTCTCCCAGGCGGCAGAAATCTCACTTGTCATGGGACTTATTCACTCCAGTGACTCCACCCCTTTCCTCCTCTGCTCCCCAACCTGCCACTTACCCTTTCCGCCCCACTTCAAGACTTGAGGAAAGGAGGGTGGCTGGAGCCTGGAAATGTCCCCGTCCCAAGTTGGCCAGAAGTAACAGACACACTATTTGGGAAAGTGCAACATGTAACTTTTCAGTTTCACCCTTCTCCAGAATGCTATCACCCTTCCTGTTTATTTTTTAATAACTTGAGATATAATTCACACGCCATATGATTCACTCGCTTAACGTGTAAAGTTGAATGTCTTTTAGCATATTTAGAGTTATGTATACATCACTATAATCAATTTTTAGAACACTTTCATTATCCCAAAAGGAAATCCCATACCTATTAGCAGTAACTCCAATTTCCCCTCATCTCACCCTTGCTCTTCCATAGCACAAAACAGCCCTACTGTAGTCGAGACCACCTTTCCACTTAGGTAGACCCTGGTTATGGTTTTTCCCCCTCCCTTTCTGTTTCTTATTTTTTTCGGAGCCCGGAATTCTCAATCTGGAGAACTGGTTTGAGTCCCGGCTCAGCCCTTTTCCCGTTCCAGGGGCGTGACCTTGAGAGCACCGCCACTTTTCTGGGCCTAGTTTCTTTGTCTGTGAAACGAGGTCCAAACATCTGCCGCTTTACGCCTGTTGTGGGGATGAAGTGAGAAGGTGCTTTGTAAGCTTTAAAAATCCATAGAAATGCCAGCTAAGTTAACTCGTCACTCTTCCCGAACCCCTCCCTTTCCCCTGGGACCCGCCCCGCGAATCCCGCCGTGGATGGACACTCTCCCCACCCTCCGACCGCAGTCTTTCCCATTGGCTCCCGCATCAACCTCGCGGCGCCGGGCGTTGACGCCACGGCTTCCTCCGCCGGCGCCCGAAGACGCATGGCCCCGCCCCCGGCCGCGCCTGGCCTCCCGCGGCGCCCCGCCCATCGGGCCGACGCGTCGCCAGCCCCGCCCCGCGGATGACGTGTGGCGCGCGCGGCCCGGCCGCCCCGGCAGTTGGTGCAGCGGCGGTTGGGGTGAGAGCGCACACGCCACCCCTCCCCTCCTCCGGCCCCTACCCCCACCCCGCCGGGCCCAGCCCCAGCCCCGGCCCGGGCTCCAGCCCTAGTCCCCGTCCCAGCCCAAGCCGGGCCAGTCCCGTGCGGGCCGGTGCCGCCCCTCAGCCGGCGACGCCCCGGGCCGCCCGCCCGCCCGCCCGCTTGCCACCATGGAGCTGGAGGACGGTGTGGTGTATCAGGAGGAACCCGGCGGCTCCGGGGCCGTGATGTCGGAGCGGGTGTCCGGCCTGGCCGGCTCCATCTACCGCGAGTTCGAGCGGCTCATCGGGCGTTACGACGAGGAGGTGGTCAAGGAGCTGATGCCGCTGGTGGTGGCTGTACTGGAGAACCTGGACTCGGTGTTCGCGCAGGACCAGGAGCACCAGGTGGAGCTGGAGCTGCTGCGGGACGACAACGAGCAGCTCATCACCCAGTACGAGCGGGAGAAGGCGCTGCGCAAGCACGCCGAGGAGGTGAGGCCGGCGGCAGGGCGGGGGCCGCGGGATCCGTCCCCGGGGGCGGTCGGGGCGGGGGTCGCGGCCCGGTCGGGGACTAGAGGCTCGACGGGCCTCCTGGAGAGCTGGCCTGAGGCCGATGCCCCCCGGGACCGAGCCCGGCGGCCTCCAGGTACCCCGGGACCCAGGCCGGCGTTGGAAGCCGAGGCCGGCTACTGAGTGTCCTGGGAAGGGAGCGAGATGGAGGAGGCAGGGCCCGGGGAGGAAGCGACAGCCTGGCCTGAGGACACATGGGGTTAGCCAAGGGCGGAGATTGTTGGGTGTCTGGTTGCTTCTTGTTGTTGAGGGAAGTTTCCGACCACCGTGGGATAGTCAGATGGCGGTTCAAAGTTTTACCCCTGGGGAGGGGGACACTTCTGTCCTGGATATGTAACTTCCGCTAGTTCCAGTACCTTTCCAGGGGGTTGCCTTGCTTTGGGAAGTTAGAGATCTCCCTCTTTCGGTCAGTTTCTTCTTGACGTTTTAATCTTGTTGAGAAAGAGGTCTTATTTTATATTCTATGTGCCTTGGTTGACACTTTGTCAACTTTTAGATGTTGTGTGGCAGTATTCAATGAATATATAAACAATTTCATGGGTATCCCAAACCAGAGCATTCCACAGTATCAGGAGGTAACCTTGGACAGTTCCCTTCAGAAACCCTCCATTTATTTATAAAAAGGATTGGGGGGCGGGGTTGGGAAGATATAGGTGACAGTTGACACTTTTTCCGTCTGAGTTTCCTTCTCAGACTGCTGTTTATACGTGCATTTAGCCGCCTGTTAACTCTAGCACCTGAGCAGTGACCTGGGCGCCCTCACCTCGACTCTGTGAACCTTTTGGAGTTCTAGGGTGCAAGTGATAGGTCCTTGGCTTTTGAGAGTGACAAGGATTTTTGCTTTCAGCCTGCATTGGCGTTATTTCTGTGGACCTTATCAAAGGCAGGTGAAGTGTCCTATTTTTGTTTCTCAAGCACCTAGTACACCTAGTTAAATACATGGTGATCAAAGGAGGCGAAATAACTAATTATTGAAGGAATGACATGGTATTTTTCAGAAAGACTTGAAGAGTTTTTAGGATGTGAGATTTGTAGCTCATTTCCTAACACTGAATAGTAACACCATTAAAAATTTTTGTTTTGTTTTGTCATGTATACCTTTGCATCTGGTTAAATAGTTCTTTTCCTTTTTTAAAAGCTTGACTGTAGTGATGATTTTTAGTTCTGATTGTGGGATCCAGTTTTCTCAAGGGAATGGTATTGAATTTGCCAAACAAAATTGACTCTTTTTTTTTTTTTTTTTTTTTTTGAGACATAGTCTCACTCTGTCGCCCAGGCTGGAGTGCAGTGGATTGATCTTGGCTCACTGCAACCTCTGCCTCCTGGTGAGCCTCTGCCTCCCGGTGAGCCTCTGCCTCCCCTGTTCAAGCGATTCTTGTGCCTCAGCTTCCTAAGTAACTGGGACAACACTCCCCGCTAATTTTTGTTTTTAGTAGAGAGGGGATTTCTCCATGGTGCCTAGGATGGTCTTGAACTCCTGACCTCAAGTGATCTGCCCACTTTGGCCTGGGGCTGACCATGCCAGTGCTGGGATTACAGGCATGAGCCACTGCACCCCGCCAGAATGGACTATTTCAAGAGCTTTTCCTTTCATATAGGGAAGGATGGGATGAAAAACCAAATAATGATAGGCTCACAATTTCCACTTGTTTGTTAGCACTCTTTGTAGAACAGAGGTCAAGTGCTACTTCTGAGAGGGCTTGCTGCTGCTTCATGCTCACTGGCCCTTGCCAGTATGTGGATATACGTGAAAGTGACTGGGAATTAACCACATGTACACACAGGTGACAAGCAAGCCTGACATGACCTTTTACCTCACATAAAATAAATGCTCCTTCCAGCCTTAAACTCCTGTCAGTCTGTGTAAATATAGGCAAAATGCCAAGGTCACACGTGCCAAGAAAACCATATGCCACAGGTTGCAGAATCAGAAAACAAAACTGACCGACTGCTAGACTCTGGGTTCCATATTAATTTCTTAAGTAAATGACTTTAAAAAAATAGGTTATCCAGTGAATTTATTTGTAGTCTATATTTTTTCAGTCACATCTACAAATTCTCCGCAGTGAAACCATTGGGCAAAGGGTCGTGACCTGAGAACAGAGAACATTTATGAAAAGCTAAATATGCCAACTCCCAGGCCACAAACATAAACACATCTTGTTATCAGATAGTCTCTCTCTGTCGCCAGGCTGGAGTGCAGTGGCACGATCTTGGCTCACTGCCTCCCGGGTTCAAGCAGTTCTCCTGCCTCAGCCTCCCAAGTAGCTGGGACTACAGGCACATGCCGCCCCACCCGGCTAATATATATATATATATATATTATTTCTTTTTTTTTTTTTTGAGATGGAGTCTCGCTCTGTTGCCCAGGCTGGAGTGCAGTGGCCGGATCTCAGCTCACTGCAAGCTCCGCCTCCCGGGTTTACGCCATTCTCCTGCTTCAGCCTCCCGAGTAGCTGAGACTACAGGCGCCCGCCACCTCGCCCGGCTAGTTTTTTGTATTTTTTTTTTAGTAGAGACGGGGTTTCACCGTGTTAGCCAGGATGGTCTTGATCTCCTGACCTCGTGATCCGCCCGTCTCGGCCTCCCAAAGTGCTGGGATTACAGGCTTGAGCCACCGCGCCCGGCCTATATTTTTGTATTTTAATAGAGATGGGATTTCACCATGTTGCCCAGGCTGGTCTCGAACTCCTGAGCTTAGGCAATCTGCCCACCTCAGCTGTCCAAAGTGCTGGGCTTGCAGGTGTGAGCCACCGCGGGCCCAGCCATCGGTTTTCTTTTTTTTTTTTTTTTTTTTTTGAGACGGAGTCTCGCTCTGTAGCCCAGGCTGGAGTGCAGTGGCCAGATCTCAGCTCACTGCAAGCTCCGCCTCCCGGGTTCACGCCATTCTCCCGCCTCAGCCTCCCGAGTAGCTGGGACTACAGGCGCCCGCCACCTCGCCCGGCTAGTTTTTTGTATTTCTTAGTAGAGACGGGGTTTCACCGTGTTAGCCAGGATGGTCTCGATCTCCTGACCTCGTGATCCACCCGTCTCGGCCTCCCAAAGTGCTGGGATTACAGGCTTGAGCCACCGCGCCCGGCCCCAGCCATCGGTTTTCATGAAAGATCATAAATCGTGTGTTGCTCAGTATCCAGAAATTGTCTCCCTTTGGCCAATATGTAGAGTGAATTCTGTGTTTAGTTTTCTGTGAGTGCTTTGTGCCTTTTTTTTTTTTTTTTAAAGACGGAGTCTCGCTTTGTCGCCCAGGCTGGAGTGCAGTGGCACAATCTTGGCTCACTGCAACCTCCGCCTCCTAGGTTCAAGTGATTCTTCTGCCTCAGCCTCCCGAGTAGCTGGGATTACAGGCCTGTGCCACCATGCCTGGCTAATTTTTTTTGTATTTTTGGTAGAGATGGGGTTTCACCATTTTAGCCAGGATGGGCTCAGTCTCCTGACCTCATGATCTGCCTGCCTCGGCCTCCCAAAGTGCTAGGATAATAGGCATGAGCCACCGTGCTGGCCTGTTTGTGTATTTAATGTGGAGACCAAGAGTCTATTATAGCAAAAGTAAGTGCCTCAGCGTATTTATAGCAAAAATGATTTGAAAACAAGGAAATTATCCATCACCAGAGAGAGTAAATTTTGAGCACCTTTGTGGAAACTTACGTGGGTATGTAAATAGTGAGAATGTTTTAGGAGTGTGTGAGGTGCTATAATCTCTTGCTTGCAGGAATTCTCAGCAAGGCATCAGAAATTTAATCTTTATATTGATAGGACATATTTTGAATACCTTCTGACTTTTTTCTTTGCTTTTATTTGAATTTTTAGTGTGGAGCTAGTCTGCTGTTTTAGGGATTCTTTAAAAACGACCTAAAGAAGGGCTAATTTTAGATAGATTTGGACCTGTTTCAGATGCTAATCAAGAAATCTGTCATCTTATGCCCGTCACTCTCTCCTTGGGGCTGCCTGTGACACACCTCTCCGTTCTTTAACCAAGACCCGTCGGATGCCTTTGCCCATGCTCTAGAATGCTCTCCTTAGAGTTTTACATAGCTAGCTCCTCACTTTCTACTCTGTTTAAATTTGAGTTTTTCAGCCAGAACATGCTGTTGACTCTGTCCAGAATAAGCCCTGTGAACCTATTGAATAATTTATTTTTAAATCAGTGACTTTTAAATTTAAATTCTTTTTGGAGACAGAGTCTCACGCAATCACCTAGGCTAGGGTGTAGTGGCACAGTCACAGCTCACTGCAGCCTCAATCTCTTGGGCTCAAGTTATCCTCTGGTCTCAGCCTCCTGAGTAGCTAGGACCATAGGCATGCATCACCACACTGGGCTAATTAAATTTTTTATAGAGACAGGGTCTCACTATGTTGCCCAGTCTAGTCTGGAACTCTTGGGCTCAAGTGATCCTCCTGCCTTGTGAATCCTGCCAAAGTGTTGGGACTTACAGGGGCGAGCCACTGTGCCCAGCCCAGTGACTTTTTAAAATAAAAATCTGGATACAAAATGATCTGGAGAGAGAGGTTATAACTGGGTATGTTAGGGGTTTTCTGCAACTTCTGATTCTTTTAAAACAGACATGATTTGCTTTAATTTTAAAAAGAGGGCCAGGTGTGGTGGCTCACATCTATAATCCCAACACTTTGGGAGGCCAAGGCAGACGGATCACTTGAGGTCAGGAGTGTGAGACCAGCCTCGCCAACATGGTGAAACCCTGTCTCTACTAGAAATACAAAAATTATCCGGGTGTGGCGGCGGATGCCTATAATCCCAGCTACTGGGGAGACTGAGGCAGAAAAATTGCTTGAACCTGGGAGGTGGAGGTTGCGGTGAGCTGGGATCGTGCCACTATACTCCAGCCTGGGCAATAGAGTGAGACTCCCTCTCAACAACAACAACAAAAAGAAACTTCTGAAAAGTAGACATCCGAGTTTAAAGA